CACTACTACTGGCGACTGTCACACACCCCACCCCCCCCCCCACCCCCCACCACACACACACACACACCAGAACTTACAATAGAGGGGAGCTTAGATTAGATGGGAGAAACCCCGTCTGTATCATCTTCATGAACAGCGTCTGCATTCGAAACTTTGTTTTTAGATAAGTTTACATTCACAAACTCTTTGAGTTGCAACAACTTACATAAATTGGAAAAGAATACTCCTTCTCAAGGTAGGGTTGGAAAAATGCAATGATTGTCTGAGAAGAGGAGCGATGGATGAACCTGTCGCAATTGCGGTCAGTGGTTATTTTTAGGGTTAAAACTTAGAATAACTAGATTTACCCTAATATGAGATTGTGCTTGCCCAAGCTAGATGTGTTTTCCATTTACATTCTCACCTATCAATGTACAAATCAATAGAAATCATACTACCTACTAGTAAATGATAATTGAGATTTTCTGGGGCTGCCAAACAGTTGGATAAGTAAATACCATATAAGGTAGTCTTTATTTATTAGCCTTAGCATATATTTTGGATCTTTGATGTGAACCATATGAGATACTCCTAAAGAGTCACTTCGACGTAGATTATCATGCATAATGTTTGCGAGTTTAATAGCATTCTCCATACACTTGATGGTTTAATTATCACGCATATGGGATACTCCTAAAGGGTCAATCTGACATAGATTATCACGCATATTGTTTTCAAGTTTTAGCATTATCCACGCTCACATAATGGTTTAATTATTTGCAAAATCTCCTGTCCACCTTTTTGTTTGTCTTCCGTTCTTTTCCTTTAAGGAAAAATTATCTGCATATATTTTCTTTTGTTGTTAGTTGACAAACACTTTTAACTTTTGCCTTTCTCAATCTTATTGAGCAGAAGAAGCTGCCCTCATGGACCTCTTGAATTTTATGTATAGCAATACTTTATCAACTACAACACTTACTGCCGTGCTTGATGTGTTGATGGCTGCTGACAAATTTGAGGTTGCGTCATGCATGAGATACTGCAGCCGCGTACTGCGGAATCTTCGCATGACTTGTGAATCAGCATTGCTTTATTTGGATCTTCCTTCCAGTGTACTAATGGCTGATGCAGTTCTGCCGTTAACAGATGCTGCAAAACAGTTTCTTGCTGAACGTTTCAAGGATATAACCAAGTGAGTAGCTCTATATAGAAATTTTAACTTGTACTTTGTTCGCTCTGGTTTGGTTGAATTTGATAGTGAAACTAGTTAAGTTTTTGATATTTCTCAGTATCACGAGAAATTTCTTCATTTCTTTATCTTGATTACCAAATGAGTGAATATCTATTACCCAACACTTCCTTTTAACATTCGCGCCCCTCTTGGGCTCTACGCACTAGCTGATGAAATTTTCCCTTTTGTTTCATTAGCATACCAAAGAATTGACCTATAATAATGACCTCAGCTTTCAATACTTCATACAGTTTTAGTGAGTCTCTTTACCATCTATACTACTAATAAAAGTAAGAAAGATTTAGCATTTCCATATCAGTCTGTACTTTAATCAATTGTTACCTATTGGAAAATTATTTTTTTCTTTTGATTTGGAAGTGATCTTTCCTTGTTTGGCTCATAGTTAAAGAATAACTTTCTATGCTAACTACTTTTGGCATGTGCAATGCACATGTATGAAAACTAGTTTGAGAAAGGAATCTTCTTTTGAGATTTTATTTCTCTAAAATTGTTCAGGTTCCAAGAAGAGGTATTGAATTTGCCTCTTGCGGGAATTGAGGCTGTTCTGTCCAGTGACGATCTTCAGATTGCTTCAGAGGATGCTGTCTATGACTTTGCGTTAAAGTGGGCTCGCATCCATTACCCAAAGCTTGAGGAACGGCGGGAAGTATTGAGCTCACGTCTTTGTCGACTCATTCGATTTCCATGCATGACATGCAGGAAGCTGAAGAAAGTCCTAACATGCAATGATTTTGATCCTGAGCTTGCTACAAAGCTTGTCCTCGAGGCTCTTTTTTATAAGGCCGAAGCACCATATCGGCAGCGCTCCATTGCTGCGGACGCAGGGAATGCTTTGTGCCATCGTTACATGGAGAGGGCATACAAATACAGACCTGTTAAAGTTCTCGAGTTCGAAGCACCTCGTCAACAGTGTGTTATTTACCTAGATTTGAAAAAAGAAGAGTGTGCTAGCCTCTTTCCTGCTGGTAGAGTTTATTCACAGGCTTTCCATTTGGGTGGACAGGGTTTTTTCCTGTCAGCACATTGCAACATGGATCAACAAAGTGCATTCCATTGCTTTGGGCTGTTTCTGGGCATGCAAGAGAAGGGGGAAGTATCATTTGCAGTCGACTACGAGTTTGCAGTTCGTACCAAGCCAAACGAGCAATACATGAGCAAATACAAAGGGAACTACACTTTCACTGGTGGCAAGGCTGTTGGCTACAGGAACCTGTTGGGTGTAAGTTGGAACGCGTTTTTGGCTGACGATAGTGCTTACTTCATCAATGGACTTCTCCATCTTCGAGCTGAGCTTACTATCCGCCAATAGAGTTTAGATACAATCGCTGTGCTTCCGCTGACAGCTAAACTATACTTTTTACTTCAGTGAGGGCTTAAGAAGTTTACATTGTAGTGGCGTCTTACTTAAAAGTGCAGCACATATGGAGCAATAGTTGTATGGGCTATATATTGCTTCTTACCTATTGCCATATGCGCACAGTTGTAAATTAGTAAAATCAAAGTCTTTGGGTGGTTCATATTTTGACAATCACAGTCTGTGAAGTTTCATATTTTGACCTTATAGTGACTGCTCATCCAGATTTCAGTTTCTTTGGGGATATGTAATTAGTTACTTGAAAGTTTCATCAAAGCTTCCAAATTTGTTTTTGGTAGTGCATAATACTTGTTTGTCTTACCCTCACAGGAATCCTTGTTATCTCGGACTGCGTTCCGGAAAAAGCAGCCTACTTGTGGGGCTTCTGTGTACTTACAGCCTCTACGATAAGCAAGTTGTTGTGGCTGGTGCGTGGCAAACAGTTCATCAAGCCATTTTTCGCCTCAACTTTCTGAATAGAAAGAGGGGTAGTTTACAACCCCCCCCC